AAACCCCCCCCCCCCCCCCTCTAATTTCTTTGTGATTGTGAGTAGAAGCGCCTAAAACCTAATTTTAATTAAAACCTAATTTTAATTAAAATATGTAAAAACTATATGATCATTGCCAACATAGAGTCACTTCGACGTTCTTTTTTATCCTTGCAAAATATGAGTTTTGCCAACTTGGAGTGGATAGCATTACAATTAATGACATTGCAATTATTTATATCAGATATGGTATCCATGACATAAATGAAAGCGCAAAGAATCTTTATCAAACTGCTTTAAGGACTCCTGAGGATCATTCAGTTGTGATCCTGGCTCATAATGGGCCAACAGGTGCATCAATAGATGAAACTAAATATAGTTTATTTTCTTGCACCCTTATTGTGAAGGATCTTGCCTTACATTGATATGATGGGTAATATGACGCAGGTCTAGGATCCAATGTGGATGACATCTGTGGAAGGGATTGGGTTTTTGGAGGTGGTGACCATGGTGATCCTGGTGATTTCTCTGCTTCTAAATGCACCATAGCTCGTGTGATTATTTATCTGGCAAATCACATCCTCCCATCTTGATGCAGTTTTGATTTTCTGCACGCTGTTATAATAGTACTCCATATGCGATGATTAAACATGCTATTTATTGTACAGATTTAGCAGATGCAATATCCCAATTAAAAGAGACCACCAAATTGTCCATCCCGCTGGTTGTCTTTGGTCACATGCACAAACAGCTGGCATATGGAAATGGTCTTCGGAAAATGATTGTGGTCGGGGATAACAACACGGTATACCTCAATGGGGCCATTGTTCCGAGGGTTAAAAGATTGGGTAATGCACCGGGGGAGTATGCTAGGAGCTCCATCTTTAGTGAAACATCAGCTGAGATGTCAGAACCGCACGGTACCATTCGAGCCTTTACTACTGCAGACATTTTAGATGGGAGGGTGGAGAAAATTGCTGAAACTTGGGTTTCGGTAATTGGTGATAAAACAACATTAGAAGAGGAACATATATTATTTAGCAAGGCAGCTAGAGGCTCTACTATTTAGGGTTATTAGTTGTGCCCACTCCAGATTGTACACTAAATTTAACTTTTGTACTCGTCCGTTTGTAACTTTTTCTCTCTTATTATTCTGGTAATGAAATATGGCTTTCTTTTGACGTAACATACTGTTGAAAGTGAATGTTAGCAATCAATTTGTTTTTAGAAAATCTACGTGAATGGCCAATTTCTGTGCGTTCCAGACCAACCAGGCTAGGGGTGGACCGGTCCTCATTTACAAGCCTTGTTGGGTCTGAATCATTTATGGCCTCCAGCTCCCAAGGAAGTAGATGATCTTGCTCAATTCTGCCTAAACATCTGTTACCTTGGTAGGTTAGTGTTTATAGCTCTCTCTAACTCCCACCACCCCACCCACATCCACAAAATATGGTTCGCCTCTCTGCTTGTAAAATTGTAATTGTGTGTGATAATATTAATGAGCTGAACAAGAAAAAGTAGACATTACATGGAAATGATGACTAATCTAGTCATGGGCGGATCCACATGGGGTCAAATGACCCCGGGTAAAGCCCATGTGACAACACCCAAGAATAGCCCAATGACCCACACAGTTTTTCTTTTTCTTTTCTTCATTCCAAAAATCTGTAATTATTTCCTTTGTGGCTTACTTTGACGCGCTTATTACGGGATGTCAAACGAAGTTGAAAGATTGTATTATTAGTATCATTTCGAAGTGCTCACGACCTAATTTTTCCCTTGTTAATGGCACGTGAAACGGCCAATCGCAGCAAAATTTATGGGGTGTCAAAATAGGTGATTTCAAAATAGTATTTGGATAATATGCCAACTTCAAAAATTCGTGGACGGTTATTGGCTAGCCGAATCCACAAATTGCCGACGTCACCCAGAAGCTTGTTTCAAGGACTACATCATAGTCATACCAAATGGTCCAAACAGATATCAAATATAGTTAAACGTGCGTCAAATGTACTTATTTAAAAGAGATGTCTAACTCATCTTTTTTTTTTTAGAAATTTTTAATTATTTCATTAATGCCTTTTCTTTTTGCACAACAAATTTTTCAATATAATTTACATTATTTTATTAGCAAATTTTATATGAAGTACGACGTAAAAAAAAATTTAGGATCGTTCTAAAGTGTAATTCGAATTACTTTCGAATGAAATTTGAATGTCATTTACTTCTTAGATTATATTTGAATTTTATTTCAAGACATTTCATTCTTACATTCAACTTGATTTACTTCTTGTTGGCTCAACATTTGTCAACGAGATGGTAAACAAAACTATACAAGTAGCATAATTTATTCGACAATATTGATAATGATGTAATTATATGATATTTTCAAAGTATCAAGATGTATAAACTACACTTATAGTAGTATATTGACTTACTTTCATTAATATTACGTTGTTTTAAAAAAAAAAATTGCATTTTAATTTTCCACCACACAGTACTAATCTGAGTCTGACTGTGAATACCTCTTTTTCAAGCTCTATGTTTCATCTTTAGTTTTGTTAAAGATTTAGCTTTAGTTTTTGCACCAACTTCCAAGCAATTCTTTACACTTTATTGACCCAGTCTTCTTCCCTTTGAACTAAAACTTTCAAAATTTGGAAAAAAGATGGTGATTGCAGCTTGCCCCCACGTCTCTGTAATGACACAAAAAAGTTGTGAAGTACTCGGAAATATCTTCAAGAGAATGTAAAATATCGAGAACCTTACAAACTAATCCAGAATTGCATTACACTTACAAAAAGGAATTGCACAGATCTCTTACAGATTACACACTATTCATGGGGTGGGTGGTTATATTTTTTCAATATAAAACTCACATGGGACCCACCCCCATATGAGTTTTCTGGATATATTCTGTGGGAATGATTCTGTACAATCAAAATTATAGAACTAATCCATAACATAGACCAGTGCATGATAATATCGTAAACCTGACTTGGAGTACAAAGAAAGAATTAGCATGATGAATAGAAAAGCATAGGCAAGGAGCCCCACCTCGAAATAGAAGGCCTAAGTCTGTCACTAGCATTTAGTGAGCTTTTGTTACGATGAAGACAAACAATCATCACTATCAACTTAAAACGGGCTGAACAATAACATGAAAAAATCGCCTTAAGTGGTATTCTTCTCATGAGCTCAAATTCAATCATTCGTTCATGAAATTCAACAAGATTCACGAAGCTCTAATTTGCTTATTTGAGTCTACCTGACTACTAAGCATGACAATTTCAACCTAGTAATAATGACCACAAAGTCAATAACAGCTCAAAAGCATGGTGACCAAGCGCAAGCAACTTTATGTAAATAAAATTCATTTAAGTCATTGAATTTTTATTGTCGATTTGGAATTACTTTACTCTCGACTCTAATCCGACCCATCTTTTCTTTTCGAAGTAGCAACCATATATTAAACATAACAAAAAAGTTATGAAAAAGCAGGAAGAAAAAAGGCTACACAAAATGAGTTGAGATTTGCTGTCCAAAATTGATTGTCCAACTTGCTGTTTATCCAATGATACATTGACATATCATTTTACACCTATTTTTAAGCACAAATGACGATGAGAGAAAAGTTGGACAGATTATGTGTCAATGAATCATTGACTGAACAAAAAATTGGACCGTCAATTTTTGATAGCAGATTCCAACTCAAATGAATCTCTCAGAAATTGGTTAAGGAAGCATCAAACATACAACAAATATGCAATTCTCTTTCTGTATAGATCAGCGGCGAATCCAGACTTTTAAGTCAGCACGGGCGACCGTCTATCGTCGCCACAATAAAATATTATGAGCCCGTTTGATGCTCCTTTTTTGCAGAAAAAATGCATTTTGGAATAGTGACTTGATGGATAAAGTGTTGTTAAAAATAAAGAAAAAGTTTGAATTTGCGTTAATATTATTTCATTGAAGAATGTGTGATTAAAAAGAAGAAAGAAAAAATGTATTTTGAAAAAAAAAAGGAGGAATGATACAAGACCTAAAATTTAAATAAAACAATTATTTGGTAAATATTAAAAGTATTTACCAAATAATATTGTGGCCAAATTTTGCATAATTCAAAAGAAGAGCCACAATGTTTACATTTGTATTAAAATAACTTGACAAAAATCAGTTTTTTTCACATTATTGCGATAATGGGACCTTTTAATATAGATTTTCACGTTATTACCTTAGTTACACTATTTTCTGATGGAGCACTATTCTTTAGAAATTGCAAGTTAATCTATACATTAATAGGTTCAAATAATTACATTTGTATTAAAATCGCTAAAACGTAACATATATTATTCTATTCACAATCATGCTCAAATTCAACAAGTGCTTCAATGGTTAATCTCCCCATAATGCTAAGGAGAGAACCCAGGTTCGAATCCTCCTCTCATATTCTCATGAATTTTGGTAAAAATTGTAGAAATAAAAATATTACACTATAAATTGGTTGGGGAGGGATTCGATCCCTAGACCTTCAATTTGAATTGGCAACCTTCCAACCAACTAAGCCACAAGAGAAAAACACAAAAATATTCGAATTAACTTATGTAAGTTCAAACTTTATCTATCATCAACCCAAAAAAAAATTGTTTCCGACGGATCCAACGAGGGCGACCGCCCGGCTATAGATCCACAGCAGCCTTTGACCGAATCTCAGTCGTCAATCCAAGATAATGATGTGTTTGTTTTGTTCAAAGTGTTTAATTATTATTAAAAAAAAAAAAAAAAAAAAAAAACTCAGTAGAAGCTTATTACTGATCATGTTTTTTGTTTCCCCTGATGAAGTAAATAGTTATATGAAGAATGAATTGTATGGACTTGACTTCATGTTTATTGGTAAAGTTTGATGGGATTTAAAAATGTGGAGTGTTTTTTATCGGTGAGACTAACAAATTAAGGTCTTTTCTTAGGGTATTTGATTGTCTAAAAAAAAAAAAAAACCTGTTTTGAAATTTGATGTGATATTCATTTACTGGGAACAAAATTCCGTGTCGTAAGTGTGTGTTTATGGCTTGGAGCGTGGAATTTTTGATTGATAGCTGATTTTTGTTGTTTGACGGGGGTGGTGATAAATGGGAAATGGGACGTCAAGTGTGGCGGCAAAATTTGCATTCTTCCCGCCGGACCCACCCACGTACGACGTCTACTGTGATGAATTGGATGGGCGGCTAGTGATGAGTGGTTTAACGGCGGATAAAAATGTGGACGTCCATTTGTTGCAAACCAAGGACGGGAATAAGGTTGTGGCTACGTTCTGGAAGCACCCGACAGGAAGGTTCACCATATTGTACTCCCATGGAAACGCTGCAGATTTGGGACAGATGCAGGACCTCTTTATCGAGCTCAGGGCCCACCTTCGTGTCAATATCATGAGGTTTGTATAAATTTCCATTTCTTGATTATATGAGTTTGTATATACAGGAAATAAATTGTGTGTGTCATGTATGCATTTATTATGAATATCTGTATTTGTTTATGCAGTGTTTGAGGGTGTTTTTGATTATTTTGGAATGTAAATTCAATGGGTTTTTATTTTAATGTTGGTATTGAACATGGGTGCCTTCAAGATTGTGGTTTTCAGCAATTTCCTTACTAAGCAGGGTGTTTTTGTTTTCTTGTGCTTCTGTTGTGTAATTTTTCATTATAACATGTTAGATATAAATACAGATTTAGATGGAAAATCGGAATTTGGCTTTGGAAATTAATTTTAGTTAATCATCATTTGAATTCAGAGAGTTGTTGAAGGTTGTGATTTGTTTTGATATTGAGGTGTTGTTCTTTTGTCCTTTTTGTTGGTTTACTTGTACATTTGGTTCTTCCCGAGGTTGTTTATTTTAGAATCGTTCAAGAAACTCTTTAGTAGTTTAAGTTGAGACCTCGAAATTGGATAGAAATTCTTGTTTACAAATTTAAATTTGATTTCAAGCAGCCTATCAAAATTAGAAAGTAGTTCTGATTTCAGCTTGCCAGCCAACTGCTGTAATTGGTCGGATGAGTGTTTCCGAGTTAATAATTTTTTCTTTTTTGTAATAATTCAAGAATGGAAAATAATATGTATTTCAAAACTTCTATCTTGGATAGTTGTTGCTAACAATGTATTTTCTTTTACCTTTATAATTAGCAGCTATGACTATTCGGGATACGGAGCATCCACCGGTAAGGTGGGATTTTTGATTGGATGTTTTCTGATGCCCTTGATGTGCATAGAATAAATGACATTTCAAATATAAAAAGTACAAAATATCCAACGTAAATTGTCCACGAAATTCTCTTCCATAATAATAAATAAGACAATAAGAAGCCATATTATATGCCATTAGCGGATATATCTAATGCTCAATGCATTCTTTTCATGTGACAGCCATCTGAGTTCAACACTTACCATGACATCGAGGCCGTCTGTAACTGTTTGAAGAATGAATATGGAATCAAGCAAGAGGATGTTATTTTGTGTGGTCAATCTGTGGGGAGTGGTCCAACGCTACACTTGGCTGCTCGCTCACCGAGGTTGAGAGCTGTTGTTCTTCATAGTGCTATTCTTTCAGGAATATGAGTTCTGTACAATGTCAAATTGACATTCTGGTTCGACATTTTTAAAGTAAGTTTCTCGAGAGTCTGTTGGTTTTCCATTTTATCTCCTAATCCAGTGTTTTTTTTTTTTTTTTTAATCTAGGTTTGTGATTGAGAAAGTTTCTGTTCATTCTTTGCAGAACATCGACAAAATACAGAATGTAAATTACCCCATTTTAGTTTATACATGTAAGAATGATCTCTCTCTTATCCTTTTTTCCCCTCTCCAAATGCATTTCCAGGACATCTATTTTTCTATGCAGCAATTACATTTCTCACTTTCACAATGAAAGTTTTCGAGTTTTCTATGTGGTGTTACCATTTCTAGTCCATTGATCTGGCAATATGATGGCTGCTAGGGACTTTAAGGGTTAAGGTTTTTTCGGACTAGCATTTATCCCGAATTAAAGGAGAAATGTGGAATTGGAATAATAGTAACATGATTAATAAAGTTTTCTTTTATGAGCTTCTGTCTCGTGAAAGCGAACGTCAAAAAGCTTTGTCAAGTTTAGGAATAAAATCAAATTTCAAGAGTCAGCTATGCTTGCTGCTATTAGGTTTACTAGCAAGTGTAGAAGGAAATGATCCTGAAAAAGTTATCTAGAATAGAAATTTTTTTTCAACTAGGAATAAGATTAGAAAGATTTTCTTGATTTGGCGTGGCCATATTAATGAACACCACCTGTGATCTATTATTGAATATTCTCACGGAATTCATATTTTCCATGGGACTATACAATAGATAAACCTCTATAATATTCCCCACCCCCCAGCAGGCACGAGCTAGCACGACCTAACACAAGCTGATTGTGTTTTCATTTTTCAACAACTCCTATTTCTGTTGGTTCAATGTTTACAGGGCACAAATGATGATATTGTCAATTGGTCCCATGGTAAGCGATTGTGGGAACTTTCTAAAGAGAAATACGATCCCTTATGGGTCCAAGGTGGAGGACACTGCAATCTTGAAAATTTCCTAGAGTACATTAAGCATTTGCGCAAATTTTTGAATGCAATGGAAAAACACTCCTTTTCAAAACGAAACAAGGCACAACTTAGTGCAGCCTCGAGTATAACAGAATCCAAATACAACAAGTGTTTGAGATTTCCAAAAAGATGATTGATTCTTTCTTATCAGTTAGAAAAATGATGCACCATGGGTTGCAACTACTTACTTCATGTGTCTATACAGAAAGGTATGAATTAGAAATTAGCTTGTGTGGTCCATATCCTGTTGAGTTGGCAATTTTCTTGGTCGAGAATGACAAATTTCCCATCAGGAGGCAGCATTGTATATCTATGAAAACTCAAGTTATCATCTTACATTTTAGAATCATGCATGCTAGGAATGTCAACATTTATTATAGGGCATGACGATTGCCTGTAGAAACCATTGTCTATGTCCATTTTCTTTAATTATTATTCATTTTTCTTCTGTGAGAAAATGATAAAATTTATCTGCACAAATCAGTGTAAACTAAGTATAAAAACATTCTGGGCAATGTTGCCATTTGATGCTGATCATTGACCAGAAATATGTTCCATGGGCATTTTTAAAATTTAGTTAGAAACTGATGCATATGCTACAGTAATTTATGCACCATCTTATGGGAAGCACTGATCACAAATTTAACCGTGCAAAAACTTCCAGTATAATATCTATATTTTATATTATTGACATGTTTGATAAGATGGATTGTTTGGTCTAATCCCGTATAAAATGTTGTGCACAAGATATGCTCTATATGTGTGGTGTAGAGTCTTGTATTTGGCTTCAATTTTGAAATAAATCCGTGCCTCTGAAACAGGCTTATTTGTAATGGGTTGCAAATTTAGCACAAAATACGATTTTTTAAGCACCAGTATTTTGTGGGAGTGATATCAAATGTCATTTTTACATTTTGCACAAGAATAATATCCAGCTGACCGAGTTTCCAGTAAACAAGCTGGGGAGTCTTGTCAACATGTGCAATGTCATTTAGGGGCCATTCGGTTGGAATTTTATTGTTATTTCTATACTTTGTAGAAAAATTTTCTGAAGAGGTTACTTCAGACTATTTGAATTAATAGCTCTTTTAGTATGATAAAATACTTTCAGAAAAATATTCAAACATGTTTAAACCAGCTTTTTTAAGTCTTGTGACTTTTCAAAATTTCTACCAAGCTGGCCCTTAGTGTTGGAGACACAAAACAAAGTATTGTGGGCTTTTATATTGCTTTAATTTCGAGCGCACAAAATGAAATATTGGAAAAATGATTTTTGTGAATCTCATACAAGCATCGTGATGTTCCATCTACACTGCCTTAAAATAAGATGAATATCCATCGAGTAATGTTATTTAGTCTCATTGGAGTTGCAATCCCAGTTTAGGTGCCCCTGAAGTGGCGTTTAATTATTAATTCTACTTATCATTAAGCGTCACCTAAATTGGAGTTGTAATTCTGGTGTCATTTAACTCTACTTACAATTAAATGTTACATTAGCATTACCTAAACTGATGTTGCAATTTCGATAAGACTAAATAACATTACTCATTTATTACTGCAAGTAACTAGAAAACTATCACCAATAAAGGGATTTTATTGTGATATGAATTAAGTACAAACATGTTTGAGAAATGTTTATAAAAGATATAAATTTTAAATAGATGGAAATGAATGGTGATGAGTGATAACTACTTGTGGATCACACGAAACAGTGGTAGACGCAGGGGGTGGCATGGGGTCACGTGACTCCCAACTTTTTATTTTTATTTATTATTTTTAAACCACCATTGATTGTGCTTTTATCTCAATTTTCAAAATCATTATAGTATATCAAACGACATCGATATATTGTATTCATAATATTATTTCGAAGTGCTCAAAGCCTAATTTCTACGTCAATGACGAGCAAAACAACAACCGTAGCTAATGTTATGACTTGTCAAAGTAAGCTGCTCCAAATTAATATTTTGAGAATTTCGATAACATGTTAACTTTAAAAATTATTCTGACAATTGTACGCTAGCCGAATTTACAAGTCGCTCACGTCATCTTGAAGCTCGTTTCAAAAACTACATGAATATATCGAATGGTCAAATATACATTGAAAATATTTAAAAATACGTCTTAAAAAGAAGTGTCTAACTAATCTTTTCTTTAAAATATTTCAATTATTTCATTAACATTCATTATTTTTATGCAACAAATTTCTCAATATAATTTACGTCATTTTATTAGAAAATTTTACATGCTTATGACATCGAAGTTTTTTGAAATATTATATCCGAAAAATCATACCCCATGTAAATTTTCGGTGTAAATTTATTTGGGTAAGATTTTTTTGAATTTAAATTTTCAAATATAAAATTCTTCATAACTTTTTGTAAATTTGAGTGTATCCTCTAATTCAAAGTGTTTGCATCCACCACTTACTCGAAATACGTGAATAAAAAGTAATTTGAGTATTTATAAATAATTTATAAACATGCGCTGTAAAACGGTAAGATAATATAGCTTATGACATGATACATTTGCACACGAACTAGAATTCTGTGCATGTTGCATCAATAAAACACCTTGATGAAAATAATAATATTAGAGATTTGCAATCCGGAATACTTCACGTACTCAATTAACATATTATCAACCTAATTGTGAGCCATGGAAAGAGGATATCTGGCAAGCTTGAGATGAGGAATAATAAACACAAAATTGCAATATCGAACCATTGTCAGATCACAAAGATTTTGGATTTTTTTATCCCCTTTTCCGAGAGATAGAGAGAGTTATAAATTGGCATAAATTTGCTAGGCACTTATAAATTGGCATAAATTTGCTTACTCTATAATTTATGAGCATACATTGATTCACACATAGAGCATCGATCCAAAATATGTTGCTAGTAGTAATTTATTCTCCCTCCCAACCAAGCTGCCGAGCTCTTTTTTCCCACAATAAAGTTATCTTCTTTTCCTTAGTGAGCAAAGCCTGGGCTCTTTCTCTGGCCGACTCACAAGTTTCTGTGGCTGTATTGCATTTTTCGGCTTCCCTCTGGTACTGGGAAGCCAATCTTCGTGCCTCCCCAAACGTGATGTTCATATGTTGGGAATGCTCTTCACCCACAGTTTCTTGAAGTTTCAGCTCTTCCGACAATAAGTCCACATACTGCTTTTCCATTTCCTCCTTCAGATCAGGGTCATCTTTTCCGCAATCTATTGCAATGAAGAGTTGAAGGTAATTTCAAATGAAATGTAAAATCAATCGTCACAATGCACAAACCTTGAGGCTTTTAAAAATCATGAACTTGAATTGCGATGTGCAGATACTCAAATTATTGTTCCAACCCTTCAAAATAAGGGCACGTTACTGACACATACTGAGGTATCCTTACCGTCAAAACAAGGAACTTATTTGCACTTTTGACAAATAATAAAAATAATTATTTGTTTTGAAACTTATTTACTTATAACTTTTAAGTAAACTTTTAAAGCTTAGCCACACACACTAGATCTTAATAGACGCGAAATGTTGATGATCTTGAACTCCATGAGGGAGCCATAAAAGAGAGATTCTTGCTCTATCACATCAGAGCTCAGCTTTAACTTGAACCCACAAACTTTCAAACACAAGCAAATGGGGAAAATTTGATAAGAGAGATGAAGATGAAGAGAAAAGGCCAATTCTGAGCCAGTTTTACTATATTTGAAATAATCTCACAGATTGTCAAAAGATGAACAAGAAGTTAATTTACTATGCAGATTCCATCCAAGATTGCAGCAAAAGAGGAAGGGAAGAGAGAGAGAGAGAGAGAGCATTCTTAAATAGTATTTTTACCTGTAACAGAAAGATTAGCCAAGCCTGCACAAAATGAAAACAAATTGGAAAGCGTTAGCACAAATAAATCTGCTAGTAACAAGAAGGAACCAAAACAATAATTGCAATTTACAATCAACAATCTAAAGTAAAAAGATTCTATGAGAGAGTATGCTGAAAACTGACTCATCCCTGCTAAGTTTTTTTCTTATACCACCACGAGGGTGGAAAATTTATTAATACTGGAATATAAAATACATCTTCTCCTTCAGTAGGGCAGCTACACCTGACCCACCCGTAAGGAAAGCAAAGAACACCTTATTCATTATCATTCCCATTCTTTTATTTTTCATATTAGCCTGGGTGAAGGGGAATACTCAACAAATATAAGATATGGATAGGTAGAAGTAAAAACAAATTCATAAGCAACGAACAGCTAACTTTCAGTCCTCTTATTTCCCATCCAAGCCATATGAAGGAGAGGGACCTCAAGTTTCTACAAAAAGTTTCAAAGATCCCACAATGTTCCTAGAAGATCATCTCATTCACGAAATTCTACGACATTTGAAATAGTGTGGACAGTCTAGAGATTGATCAAATCCCAAGAAAATATTTTTCAATGGCAAAAAGTTAGTTTGTAATGGACAAAATTGCTCTTTTGCACCAATAGATAGTTCAGGAATGATTAGAGATGTGCATATTGTATCAGAAGATGTAAATCACAATAACATGGTGAAAATTTAATGGTTTAAATCCTTTTGTTTTGAAAAATTCACCAATTAGCAAAGTTAAACATTCTCTTATATTACTCTGTATCTGTGTCTGTCTCTTATTCTCTTATATTACTCTGTATCTGTGTCTGTCTTATATTACTCTGTATCTGTATCTGTGTCTGTCTCTCATTCTCTTATATTACTCTGTATCTGTGTCTGTCTCTCTCGCTTGTTTATCTCTACGCACTGCAGGTTCCTTGAAAACTCAACTCTATAACGAATTTGCTAAGAGAAAAAGTAAGAAAAGTTTCTTTTTCTCAATTGACTGTTGCTGAAATAACTAAGCAACGGGTCCCCTTTTTCTTTCATTAATGCCCTGTTAACATTATTAAAATACTTTCACTCTTCTACCAACACATTCTGAAGTGCTATTCAGTTCATCCTATAAAACTTACAAATTGCCAAAATAAATTGTTTCCACTAGAGCCTAACCGCGATAATTTGGTAAAGCAAAAAACCAAGTTGGTAGAGTGACCAACTAGTTAGAGATCCAACTTTTTTCTATGCTCATCAAGTAAATGAAAGAGGAAAGTTCAATTTTTTTTTTTTGGCTAATTCAGCTTAACAGCCAATTAAAAAAAGGTTGAACTTGCTTGGCTTTGGATTTTAGCCAATTGTTATGAAAGAGAGCATGAGATGGGGTGCAATAGAGAGAGAAGGGGGGGGGGGGTGATAACATAAACAAGGAGACCTTATTCTTAGAAACATCTGCCATTCTTTCGCCCCTCATGATTGATCAATGTTAAAGTCTTCAATTTTCATCACCACATAATTACTGTTTCCTAAAAGAAAGTCTAGGATAAAATGAAAAAAAAACTGTCCACTCGCGAGGTCTAGTAAATAAATATTAATCTCAACCATTTCAACTCGTTGATAATTGAATCAAATATCGTTGGGGGTAAAAACCAAAATACTATGAAAATAAACTAAACCTTGAAACCCTCTACCATCAATGAAAACAACAAACGATCAACAATTACATGAATCAAAAGAACCCAGGGCAGAAACTATAAAATCAAATTGAAAAATAGATCAGAAAGGAGCACCGGGGCACATACCAGGGGCAATCTGAAAAAGGGTTTGTGGTGAAGGACAATCACATAAACAGGGAGGGCAAGAAGATGAAATTCCTTTCAATTTCAGGCTCTTCTTGAATTTCCAATACAAAGCTGGCCCAGATACACAGAGTGCCGACACTACCGCGAATATCACCAAACAACACCTCAAGCAAGTCGCAGATCTCCTACTCATCTCTCTCTCTAAAGAAAGAGATCTAACATGTCGCTTTAGAGGAGACTGGGATCTATTCAGAACGGGAAAATCAAGTGTGTCGATTAAAAGTGAATTTGTTGGAATAGGCCATGTTTGGCTAGGAAGCAATATAAATGTATGGAATGAGATCTTCTTAGTCATAATTGAGTAAATTAAGGACATATTTGATATGACTTTTGATAAGTTGAAAGTAAATTTGAGATTAAAATATTTTTGGATGGTTTATCCCTTAAAAGAATTTTTTAAGGAAAGATATCCCAAACATGCCGTAAAGTGAAAAATAAATGAGTGCAATCAAAATTTTTACGGTTATTATTATTTTTTTTCAGTAATGCTAGAAAAAATCATAGAACAGCCTGGATTCCATGCAGAATAGAATAAATTGGTGTTCAACTTCAACATTTCATTTGTATTAACTTTTTGTTTTCGTTATAATTTGGCCGATGAACACATTCCTATTTTAATCAAAGGATTTGCACTTAAATTTGGTGTTCACTTAAAATTCGAGAATGTACGGAATCGTAATCAAGTAATGAAACGTTAGTGGAATATGAGCATCAAGCTTATGAAACTTAAGTAATTGACAAGCATAAGGAATTTTGAATCTCCATTCATTCGTCCATTTTAACATCAAAATTTCATTATTTGAAAAGGCTTATTTGAACATAAAGATCAATTTTTCTAATTCGTTTAATAATATCTCATATATATATATATATACACACACACACACACACACACACATGTCAAGATGCATTAAATAATACAATATTATGCTATTTGTACAAAGTGTACTTACAAATATAGTTGACAAAGTAAGCATTAGCAAAATTCAGGCAATTGATTTCAAATGATTTAAAAATTTGTTTTTGAAATGATTGGTGTAGATATTACTTTGTCAATCAACTTTGTAAACTATCTTTGTACATATAGCATAACTCAATAATACAAATATTCAAAAGGACCTATTCCTTATCGAAATTTATAATGATTATTACTACATGTCAATTCCTATTAATTTTCTTGAATATCAATAGAAATAACAAATAATTCAATTAGTGACCAAGTAATTAAAATATCATTAAACTTTTAACAATCTTTCAAATCCAAACACATGTTTAATGTCAAAATTCATAATTTAATATCAAAACTTCAAAATACAGGTTTGAATTTATACTAGCATCTATACAACTAACCAAGTGTTATATGATTAATAAAACACAATTGAATTGAGACAATACCACGCGCAAATAAAGTTAGAAGAAAGATAGAAAGAAATCTTGAATTTCTTGAATTGGTCATTGATTAACTTCTTTGATTCTTCTTCAATTCCATCAATTATTGCATGAAATTTATATGGATGTGTTTTATATTAAAACTTACATGATAGATGATTATTAAACACCATCTCAATTCCCATCTTCCACCCATCCCATTTTTTTTTCGAGGAAATGCCTCGAAAATCTATTGTTCTGTCCAATCCATAATGTTGTTTGGATTTGGGCTAAAGTGATAAACAAAATAAGGGTAGCACGCATGCGGATGCACGATTGAATCCTTTTGTGATCGTCCTTTAGGAATTATTAGTAAAATGACTCATGAAAAAAATATTTTATTGTTTAAATCGTAAGATGCCATAAGCGTCTTCTTTTGAACTATCTTCTCATAACATACTTGATTTGACTACTTAAAATGAACAGACATTCCCTAATTGGAATTGGAGGATTCCAATGAAATGCTTGAAGATAAAAGGAGGCCAAGAAAACCCACTTGAACTTTCAAAGCAAAGACATCCCCCCTAATTCATATACTTGGAAGGAATTGGGGCCCTTCCGACGGAAAGCACGATTCCGGATGGAGTAGTGCATCTCTCTCTTGAAAGCCCGCTCTAACGATAGGGTTGTAGTGAATTGAGTTCTTTAGAAAGCTACGAGTGAAAGACTTTCCACATTAGAGCTACATAAAAATGATTGAGAAAGAGACAGTATAATACTTGTCTTACAAGTTTGTGAGCAATATGGACTGTTTGATCAAAAGCTTCCTCTAGAGCTCTATCCCTTGTAAGATACATGTAATTTCTGCATTAAGCTTCCTCTACAATTGTAAACGATGACGTGTATTTATAGACACCAATATTAGCTAAAAAAGTTGTGTCCTAATTAATTTCTAAGTAGAAGTTGAGTCGAATAAGGAAATAATCAGAGTGGCACAAATCACCTTGCGATTGCACAGCATTATAGCTGTTGATTTTTTTTTTTTTTTGGGAGAACCTGCGATCACAACTACCAACTTTTGCCTTCCATTCAAGTTTATCCTTGACTTCCTTCTCCTGTTTAGCTCGAGCCTTCCTATATGCACTTTGGTCCTTCATCTTCGAATCTTCACAGTAGACTCCTCCACATTCCATGATTGTCCAAAATTGATCGAATGGAAGTATCGAAAGTTTATAACTTAGTCCTCAACTCAAATGAATTTAACTCTCAAAACATATGAATTTCTTCTGATTACTCTATTAATTCTACTAAAAGATCAAGTGCACTTCGATTAATTTTTAATTTGCTTTGTATCCACCCCAATTAAGCTTTAAAATGCATTTTTTACGCCAATTACTTTCAAGTTGGGGATTTTCCTAAATTCATATATTTTACAATAAATAAAGTAGTTATCCGCTTAATTAATTATCTCAGTAATTTTATCCAACAACCTGCTAGTTATTTTTATGAGGCATAAAGTGAATCTTTTCCTGAAAGCATAAGAACTGGTTTGATATTGCACGAAATCCCGGCCACTATGCATACTTTGGATAAAAAATGATTTTCCATTTCCTCTTCCCTCCATTTTTTCTTTGCTACATGTGAAGGAATCGATTAACTCTCTTAATATAACGAAGTTCACTCATTAGGCCCTCGTTTGAGCCCCATTCTTTTGGAAAAATGCATTTTCAACAGTGTTTTGACATTATTTCAATCACACATTTTTCAGTAAAATAATATTACACGCAAATTCAAAACTTTTCCTTATTTTTCAACAACACATTTTCCATCAATACTATATTCAAAAATTCATTCTTCCCCAAAAATGGGGCTCAAACAAGGGCTAGACCTCCCACCAATAGTTCACTTGTAAGGTCTCCATAAAAGTGATACAATAGGGCACTGAACAGCCATAGATTGATTAAAGGGCAACCCTGCATAAATCATTTGGATCGCACAAGAAATGGAGAGCAATAACACCGCTAATGGGGCTTTTTGGAATAATAGTTTTGCTACCCTTATATTTTGATTGACAGTTTTATTGACATTTCATGATGTGACAAGCAATCTGGTTACCTATTTGAATAATACATATTCAAATCAATGATCAGATTTTTTTTACACATCATTGAATTTCAAATACGATGTACAAGGAGCTTAATTCTTGAAAAAAATCATTATAAAAGATGTTTTAAATTAAAATACATTTTTTTTTTAGAATCAAACGGGGGCTTAATATGATCAACACCCACAATCATAAACAACCGATACCCAAGAGCTTAGCAAAAATCACACGTCGCAATTTTTTCGATTCCTTGAGAATCCAAATTCGAGAATCAAAATTTTTGTTTTTCAGATTCTTACTTTTCAAAGTGGAAATGTTCAAATTCGGTTTTAATTTCATCTCCAATTTCTATTTTAAACTCTTTTTGGTTCCCCATGCCTTCTATTTCCATTTAATCTACTTATTTGGCAGTGGCTTGAATTTTTTTGACATTTTGCATGGTTTAACTATTTTTTATTATTATGTTATGATATTTGTTCGTATTAGAAAATGAAAAGTTAACACAATTTTTCATTAAAAGATCGCACACTGTAAAATTTTTATTTTTCAATAGAACATTTTTGTTTAAGCTTACAAATTTCTTATTAAATTTTTTAAACTTATATTTAGATCTTACTCTCTACTATTTTTGTATGAATATAAATTAAGACTTTGCATTTGAAAGTGATGCGGTATGTTGCTTTTCCATTAAAAGGTCACGAGATATGTAATATGATTGTGTCGATTTGCTAATAAAGGATACAAGTTTGTGTTTTTTTCACATATGAATAAAATCATTGTCTTTGTTCTATTGTGGCGGCAAATGGGAAAAAAGAACAACCAATACATTGATTTTAAAAGATCGAAATCATTGTTCGAATAGCATGCACATACATCGAACGTGATGCATGATATTTTGTTATGTTAGGTAAGGGTTAAAATTTTACATTAGAAAGTGATCTTTCGTACCTTTTTAATCTCATAGATCATATGTGGCTAATGTTAAGGTGTGATTATAAGAATTCTTAAACCAATATTTAATAGTTAATTTTATATTTTGTTAGGAAAATATGAATTAAGGTTCTATATCAAAGAATGACATGATGTATAACTTTTTAATTATAAGATTATACAATGCGTGATTTTTTTTTTTTTTTTAAAAAGACATTAATTTATTTGATTCTCTCAATTGTTGAGCACGATTGACTCGACACCTTTCCTTGACCCCTGCTCAAAGTTTCATTCTTCATATATATCGTCAATTGGATAAAGACATCTGGCACACTCGACTTCCCCGAATTTCCATCCGAGGCCCTTGATTATCTTATGTTCATTTATTGAAATGTCACGTGTCACTTTTTTAGTAAAAAGCCACGTACCGTAATTTTCAACTAATTAAAAGTTTGAGCACATTTAATTTCCACTATTATCAACTAATTTATCATGGTCATAAAAATTTATAAGTTAAGTTCAATAACTTATTACCATATATATTATTCAATAATAATAAAAAAATTCATAAAATCTGATTTTGGATAATAATTAATTTTAAGAAGCATATTATCTACACATAATCTATAATTTATAATATATTAAATTATCACATCAATGGAGAATTATTTTTTGGACAATTTTAACCTCCCTATAATTTAGGTATTTCAATAATACCTTACTTTTCATTTTTCGATATGTAATAAATACCACATAATTATTGTCCTTTATGAAAATTGTGTTATTAATTCTCAATTAATTAATATTCACATTAACCTAGATTTAATGAATTTTCACTTGATGAATTTTGAATTACATGAATCTAGAGTTATTATAAATAAAATTATTCATATTCATGTATTTAGAAATTTTA